TTATATGAAACAAAAAGGGGAAACCTAATTTACAATGACAGAAACAGATCGGTGATTTTCTAGGGGTGTGGGTTAGGGAGGAGTTAACTGGAAAAAAGCAAAAGGGAACTTTCTGAGGTGACCTTAATTTCTATACTTTTATTGTGTTGGTTATATGGGTGTCTACAGTAGTCATGATTACTGGCCTTAGCCCTCACAATGTATGCAATCTCTTGAATTTGCATTGTGCCTCGATAAAGTTGAATGAAAAACCCCCAAACATCAGACATGGACCCAGAGAGATTGTCTGTAAGCACCTCTTCTCTTTCCCTCTACTGTCTTCCCAGTGAGAGAATGGAATCAGCACAGGCAGGCATCTCTTTGTAGAGATTCTGTTCATCCTGTAGAAGCATGTTAGAAACCTGCTGGGGTGCTGGTGATTCCGTTCTGCATTATGCTACAGAAAATTAAACAAGAAGTGGATTCCATGTGACACTTGCATTTATTAGCAGAGAAAGAATGGATCTGTGAAGAAGAGTGACACCCCATTGTGTGGATGTCCCTTAGGATTGTCAAGTTGCAGAAAACAGTCAGCTAAGTTCTCAGCTTGTTAAACCTGAAAAAGCTGTTTACATGTTTTGTATTTTCCTCATGTGAACTGTTAAGCATTCCATTTAATTTGCAAAGGCAGAACAGATTTTCTTGATGGCTTGGCTCCTTTGGGATGATTGCTGAGAACCATGCTCAATATTAGTACCTATGGATATGTTCCTGTCTATTAAGACAGTTTGAGGCTTGAATTGTGGGGGCTCAGATTGCCAAGAGTTGCAGCACATCTAAATTATAGTGATATGCCCTCTCACAGAGATGTCCGGTTGCATCTGCTCTAAGAGGGGTCAGAAGAGAGCTCAACATGCCACCCCTGTTTTGCAACAGATGCTCAATTGTGAGCAACACTCTGTTTCCATGACTACACATGCATTTTTGCCAGGTTCAGGGGTGGCATAACTGTTTTGACATAGAAAAAGGGCGAGAAATCTCACAGAGGACTGCAGCCTCTGTGTCAGTGATCAAAGGCTGTATAACATTGTTTGAATAGAGTAATGGATAGCAGAATAACCCACTGAATGTCTTAGGTCTCTTGGAATCCAGAAATCTCTACCCATCGCTAATTTTAATGAGCAAAACATTAGATGTTGCCTATAGAAGGGTCAAATCCCTGATTCTGGAAGGCGCTCAAGACCTAGAAGCAGAGAGGACACAAGGAGATCTGCACTCTAGCTGGGGTTCAGACACGATGAATGGTGTCAGACAGGCTACTTAGCCCTTCTGATGCAGTTTCCTTCTTTGTGAACCAGGTTAAAACCTGATACTGAGAATCAGTTGACAGCTATTGCTCAGCCTTCGGTTTCTCCAGCTTGAGATTTCTCCATCTTTGCTTATTACGAAAGTAGAAATAAACCTAAGTACCCACAAGGAACCCACTCATAAAGAGTGCAGTGACAAATGACAGCTTTACTGGAGATCTGTTAAAGAGAAGGAGAAAGAGGGTTTGATGCATGTCCCTCACCTAAAGAACACCGCAAAGGGACTGTGCATGTGTGAGTGGGTGTGTGGACATGTGTGAGTGTGTGCAGTGCTCAGAATCCTCACTTCTCTGTCTCTTCCTGGTATTCCTCCCAGGATTTTATACATCTTCTCCATCTGTTATTAAGCCCAACAATTCTTCCTACCCTCCACGCCAACTGTACACCCAGGCTCCTCTGGGTGCTCAGCAAATCAAATGACCTCCAGGCAACAAGACTCCCTCCTTTACGGGATGGTTGGGTGACCAGCTTTTTTCAGTGGGACATGATTTGGTGTTTCCCTCATTGCATATTGAGTAACTCACACAAATTTCTGTACTTCATCAATTCTAAGAAAGATTTTCTCACATTTTAACATCTCTGAAATTAGAACACAACTTACAATAGAAGACATCTTACAATTATAAGTGACAGCATTTTTATTTCTTAGCATCTTAGATTTGATTAAATATGGCATTTCCTCCATCTGAATACAGGGTTATTTCTCTCCAATAGCAATTATTATTGTTATAAACTTGTTATGTAAAATTTTCTTTGTCTCAAAACAAAAAATATCTCAAAGTCCATGGAGTTCAAAGGACCAGTTAACAAATTATGTCCACAGCTCTGTCCATGTTGCTTCTGACCCATTCACGGTAACTCTCCTATTGCAGAGGACAGACATGGACAGCTAGGAATAAGGTCAGAAAATTGTCTCTTTGTCTACATTAAGTGGGATTCATTCAGCAGGAGGGAGTCTTCAGTGGAACTGGGAATTAGTAAAGGGTGATTCTCAAAGTGTGTTCCAAAAACTAATCACACCAGTATCTTTTGGCAGGCTTATCAGAAAGTATAACTAACATTCAGAGCCATATTTCAGATTACGCAAGTCACCTCTTTGGGGATGGTGCCCTAGAATCTGTACTGCAAACAGGATATTTTTGTTCATACTAAAGTTTTAAAACTAGATTACTATTTTTTGGGAGAGTTGAATATCCACCATAGACCAGGCACTTGCATTTTAATTCACTATGATTTGAAACTCTCAAGATTCTTTAAAGATATGTATTAGTCCCATATTTGCAATGGGGAAATCAAGGCACAAAGAGCTTGAGCAACTTCTCAAGTCACCACCTAGAAAGTGATGGAGGCTGGATGTGAACTCTGTATGACCCCACTTGGCTTGCACTGAGCACAAAACATGATTTGTACAGTCTTTTTGGAACATTACTGGACAAAGCCTGTTGAAATTTAGCATGATTATTCCCTTTACCCAGCAATTCCATTTCAAGGAGTTATACTAAAGACTGAAGCATTGGCACATATAAAATATCCACTTGTACTAATAAAAAAATAATCAGAAAGAATCCATAGGCCCATCAACAGGGGAGGGTCACATTATGATACTATAAAATATTGTGTAGCAGTAAAAAAATTTATGTACATCTATTTGTGACAGCATGGAAAGATCTTTGAGACATATGACTAAATGTAAAAAGTAAATTTAAATACAAAATGTAGAGAAGAATGCCATTTATGTAAAATTTTAAAAAGCCTTTATATATTTATGTTATAAATGTGAACACATAGGAAAATATCTAGAAAGCTACATATCAAATTGTTACCAGTCTCCAAGTGGAGGTTTTTCCTGGTTCTTACTGATCATCAGGAAAAGAATTTGGGGACACACCACATAAGCCAAGCAAGTGACAACATTTTACTGAAAGTGAAAGTACACTCTCAGGGGGGAAACTGGGCAGGCTCGAAAGAGCAGTTGCACTGGGAGGAGGTGGTTTCAGATCTTTTGCAGTCTTACTAATTGAGGGGAGGAATATTCAAGGCCACGGAGTTGGCTTTTACTAAGAATTTAGATGGTAATTCCTAGAATTGGGTTCCCTCCCATTTTCATACTTTGTATGGTTGTCTTGGAATTGTCATGGTAATTTCAGGGGTGGAGAAATTTTAAAACCACAATGTAAATGATATTGTAATTAGCCAAAGCTCAGGTAAGCTGACCAAGATAGCTGACAAGGCAGTTGAAGCCAGTTCTTGCCTGTGGTTATCAGCCCCTCCGGTTAGGTTCTGCTTAAAGGTTGTTTATTTTAACACCTGCACCCACTCTGCAAGCCCCTGAATCCAGTCTCAGCCCTGTCTCCTACTCTAACAAAATTGCCTCTTGAGAGGTGAGTGGCATTGGAGGTGGATGGGGGTGGGAATGCAGGGGTGGAGGTTACTCACAGTAGTTCTTTTTACTTATGTATTCTATTAATTTTTAGCCATGACAGTGCAAGTATTAGGTAAAATTTTAAATTAAAAAAATAGGCAAAACATGAATAGTAAACTGCTCACACACTCCTTTTCAACCCTGAGGTTAGATACAGACAGTGGCCACAGACTGCAGACTGCAGAATAGCACCTACAAAAAGTCCTTGTTGTTTCTTGTTATGAATTATGTACTCTGCCTAATGGGTAGCTTGTTTTTTTTTCTTATTCCAAATCAGAACTGTGAAGTATAAAAATTTAACTTAGCAAAAAGTACACGTGTAACCTGTGTTGGTGAAACATTGCTGTTAATGATAATTCTGAGCTTGTTGGAAACTAGTCATATTTCAGTGCATGCTTAGTTGCTCCCAAGTTTTAACAAAAAGCCCATAATATCTGCCATTTACCAAGGGAATTTAAGAAAGCTCGTCAAAAGAACAAAAGATGAATTGTATACAAAAGAACAAAGATGAATTGTATGCAATGAACAGCCACATTCTTCTTAATATATTAACTAAAAATGACAACTTTACTGAAAATTTCTGTCCCTCATGTCCTTTTTCTGTTTTGAACAACCCAAATTGGCTCATGGCAGAGTATTTCAATACCTGCGCCATTTGTCTTGAAGAGATCTTTAAAATATAACTACAATTACAGGTTTTGTGCCATAAATCATTTAATTCTCAATAAAGAATAGATACACCGAGGGAATGTTGCAGCAATGTGGCTTGAAGTTTGGGCTGGGACATTTTTCATGAGTTGCCCAGAGCAAGCAGATAACACAAACTTGCATATTCTTGGTACCAGTGACTCATCTGGCCCTCCTGGGTGGGCAGTCTCATTGGTTTCATTCCTTACTGTGTTGTCTAGTTGGATCGGCCCACCACAGGGAATGAGGCATATCCACCAACAAGCTAAGTAACCTTGAATAAGTTACCCATTCACTTTGACTCTTACTTCCTCATTCATACAATGAAGGAATTGCACAAGATAATCATGCATGTCTTAATTCTAAAATTCAGAATTTGTAGTTTCTTTATAGAATGGTCAATGGGAAAGGTTTCTTACCATTCCTTAAGTCTGGGATGGCCTTTGGAGTTGTTTAAACTAATAGAATGTGGGGGATGTGACAATGTGCCAGTTCTAAGCTTAAGCCTCAAGAGACCTCACATGCTTCCACTCTTTCTTTTGTAGTCCCACTAGCTTCCATGAGAATGAGCCCAGGCTAGTCTGATGGAGGATGAGAGACCATATGGAGCAGAGATGAGCTAACCTAGCATGACCTGCATGAGTAACCTCAAAGACAGAAGAACCACCCAGCTTAACCCATCTTCAATGGTCAGCCTGAAGAATTGTGAGTTAAATGAATGGTGGTTGTTCTCAGCCACTGTGATGCTTAAATTTTGTGTCAATTTGACTGGGCTAAGGGATACTAGATAGCTGGTAAAACATTATTTCTAGGGTGTGTATGTGAGGATGTTTCTGGAAAAGATTAGAACTTGAATCAGTAGATTAAGTGAAGAATATTGCCCTCACCAATGGGCGGAGGGCGCAAAATCTAATCTGTTCAGGGTTATGGAATTTCCTTTAATGTGTAAGTCTATTCACCATTTGGTGTGGACATTCCCATTGACTTTGTCATTCATCCTGGCCTTATGGAGCCTCCTATTGATACCTCATTGCCTGTTTATACAGCATATCTCAAAAGAGCTGACACTGTGATTATAATGAGAAATATATATATTTTGGTCTTTATCCCCAGGTCCTGGCACAGACCTGCTAAAACCCTTATAATTTTATAAGCAGATAGGGGTGCTAAGTACACATTTTGTTCTGATATTTGGTATTCTTTTCTGGTTCCTGACATAGAGCTCCTAATCCCTTGGAATTTCCTGACTGATAAGAACATGTTTTGCTCTAATGAGGTGATTCTTGGTGGAATACTGGATGGGGAATGGTCACCAGAAAGACCAAGCCAGGACAGAAACTTGGGACTTTCAGCCCCATTCTCCATCTTCTGGGAAAGGGAGAGGTACTGGAGACTGAATTAACAATCAATTATGCCTAAGTGATAAAACTCCCTTAAATATCCATGAACTATGGGATTCAGTGAGCTGAACATGTGGAAGGTAGCACACCTGGAGAGGGCATGGAGCTCCTCGTCTCTTCTTATATACCTTGCCTGCACACTTCTTCCCCACTGTTCATCTGTGTCCTCTGTAACTTCCCGTACAATATGCTGGTAAACATGAGCAAATGTTTCTCTGAGTTCTTTGACCCATTCTACCAAGTGATCATTGAAACCAAGGAGGGGATCGTGGAAACCCCCAATTTATAACCAGTAGGTTAGAAATGCTGGAAGCCCACACTTGTAAGCAGCATTCAAAATGAAGGGCAGTCTTGTGGGACTGAGCCCTGCACCTGTGGAATCTGACTCTAACTCCAGGTAGATAGTATAAGAACTGAATTATAGGACACAAAGCTGGTGTTGGATAATTGATCAGTGTGGGAAAAACCCCACATATCTGGTCACAGCAGTGTTCTGTGTTAGGAATATACAGTAGTAGGAGAAAATAGTTTGTTTTTTCGTACTATACACTTGGTTTGTTTTTCTATTATACAATCTGTATGTGAGTGGAGAGAGGGTCCCCAGCTTAAGAGGAGACCTGAGGCAGGAAAGCCAATAGATTGAGATTCAGCTGACCTTTGAGGGAAATGTCTGTGTGGATGGAATTGCCCATCATGACTACAGCTGAAATGATAGTGGGCCGAGTGATGCCAGGCTACAGAAACTTGTTAGAGTGACCTGCCCAAGTCTAAAGCCCATGCTCTTTGCCCTCTATGTCATGTTATTCCTCTGGGACTAGACATCACCAGTGTCAGGACACCGTGGGCTTTCTAGCATGCATCCTCTAGCCCAACATGTCAAGCTTTAATTGAGAAAACTGAACAATTTCCCGATGCCAGGAGTCCTTAAGTTTTCAGAGAAGACTTTGGAGAAAATTATAAGGGTTTTAGCAGCTCAGTGCCAGGAATCAGAGATGAAGATAAAAATACATTTCTTATTATAAATCACAATGTCACACTGGTACAGCCCATAGTGCAGGGCATTGGTGCCCAGCCTCTCACCCTTCAAAGGGGCAATCCTGGAGTGCATTCTACACAGTTCCCTAGAAAGTGTGCAGTAGGATTTGGCCTAGTTGCCCACAGCATAATCAGCTGAACGACATGCTTGTGTTGGCTCTTCTCTCCTTCCCTGTACCCTTTTCCCCACAGCCTCACCCATGTTTACTGAGGTTGCCTCCAAATACACTGCCTGCACCCAAGTCTTTGTCTCAGGTTGTGTTTCGGGGCCACCCCAGTATACTCACTTAACTTTTCCAAGCTTTGATTTTCTCATCAGTAGGGGAAAGATATATATACATATATACACATTACTATGTGAAACTAAATATCTCTATCTATCTACCTCTGGCACATTGTAGATATTCAACAAATATCAACTAGTTCCCAGCCAGGGAATGTATCTTTCTCTCAATCCTGATGCCAATTCTCCAGCTTTTTCTGAGTCTGTGAATCTCTGCTCTTTACTCCTGGAGCTTTGCCACCTATAAGCAGAATAGAATATAGAAATATAGTTAGTAAAGCATGTCTTATGACCTTCAGCCTTCTGTCTGCTGTGCCATGCAAGTTTTATTTGTGTGAAGAAGAGCAGGCTTTCTAAAAGGATGCTTGGGGAGCAGAAGCAATGTGCCCAGTTTCACCACGTCATCCTGAATTTTGAAAAAAACAAAAATATATCCAGTTCTTTTTTTTTTCATTTCTTTTTTATTTCAGCATATTATGAAGGTACAAATGTTAAGGTTACATATATTGCCCTCAACCCCCCTCGAGTCAGAGCTTCAAGCATGACCATCCCCCAAACCTTGCACATCTCACTCACTGTGTTTGTATATACCCATCCCCTCCCCCCACCACCCCCCTGCCCAACACTCGATAAATGTTATTCCTTTATGTCCACTTAGGTGTTGATAAGTTAATACCAATTTACTGGTGAGTACATGTGGTGCTTGCTTTTCCATTCTTGGGATATTTCACTTAATAGAATGGGTTCCAGCTCTATCCAGGAAAATACAAGAGGTGCTATATCACCATTGTTTCTTAGAGCTGAATAGTACTCCATGGTATACATATACCACATTTTATTAATCCACTCATGTATTGATGGGCACTTGGGTTGTTTCCACAACTTCGCAATTGTGAATTGTGCTGCTATAAACATTCGAGTGCAGGTGTCTTTTTGCAGAGTGTCATTTGTTCTTTTGGGTAGATGCCCAGCAGTGAGACTGCTTGATCAAATGGTAGATTCACTTGTATCACTTTAGGGTATCTCCATCTTGCTTTCCACAGAGGTTGCACTAGTTTGCAGTCCCACCAGCAGTGTAGGAGTGTTCCCATCTCTATGCATCCATGCCAACATTGATTGTTTTAGGACTTTTTAATAAAGGCCATTCTCACTGGAGATAAGTGATATCTCATTATGTTTTTTTTTAAGTTTTCTACAGATACAATACATTTTATTTTTTTTATTTATTTTTTATTTCAGCATATTATGGGGATACAGATTTTAAGGTTTCAATAAATGCCCATTCCCCCCTCCCCCCACAAGTCTGAGTCTCCAGCATGACCATCCCCCAGATGGTGCACATCTCACTCATTATATATGTATAACCGCCCCCTCGTCCGCTGGCCAATACCCATTACTGTAGTACCATATGTGTCCACTTAGGAGCTGCTCAGTTAATACCAATTTGCTGGTGAGTATATGTGGTGCTTGTTTCTTGGGAAACTTCACTTAATAGTATGGGTTCCAGCTCTAACCAGGAAAATATAAGATGTGCTATATCACCGTTGTTTCTTAGAGCTCAATAGTACCCCATGGTATACATATACCACATTTTATGAATCCATTCTTGGATTGATGGGCATTTGGGCTGTTTCCACAGCCTTGCAATTATGAATTGTGCTGCTATAAACATTCGAGTGCAGGTATCTTTTTTGTAGAGTGTCATTGGATCTTTCAGGTAGATGCCAGAATGGATGCTGGATCAAATGGTAGATTCACTTGTATCGCTTTAAGGTATCTCCATATTGCTTTCCACAGAGGTTGAACTAGTTTGCAGTCCCACCAGCAGTGTAGGAGTGTTCCTCTCTCTCCGCAACCACGCCAGCATTTACTGTTTGGAGACTGTTTGATAAAGGCCATCTTCACAGGAGTTAAGTGATATCTCATTGTGGTTTTGTTTGGATTTCCCTGATGATTAGAGATGTTGACTTTTTTTTCATATGTTTGTTGGCATTCTTCTGTCTTCTTTAGAAAAGTTTCTGTTCAAGTCCTTTGCCACTTTTTAATAGGGTTATTTGATTTTTCTTGATGATTTCATGAGTTCTAAGTATATTCTATTTATCAGCCCTTATCGATACATAGATGGAAAAATTTTTCCCATTCTGTAGGTTGTCTGTTTACTTCATGACTGTTCTTTGGTGTGCAGAAGCTTTGTAGTTTGATCATGTCCCATTTATTTATTTTTGTTGCTGCTGAGATTGCCTTTGGGGACTTCTTCATAAACTCTTTGCCTAGGCTAATGTCTAGGACAGTGTTTCCAACATTTTCCTCTAGAATTCTAATAGTTCCATACCTTAGGTTTAAGTCTGTTATCAAGCATGAGTTGATTTTTTGAGAGGTGAAAGGTGTGTCCTGTTTTAGCCTTCTACAGGTGGCTATCCAGTTTTCCCAGCACCATTTATTGAAAGGGATTGTTTTCCCCGCTGTATGTTTTTGTCTGCTTTGTCAAAGATTAGATGGCAATATGAGGATGGTTTTATATCAGGATTCTCACATCTGTCCACTGGTCAATATTCCTATTTTGTGCCAATACCATATTGATTTAATTACTATAGCTTGTAGTATAGTTTGATATCTGGCATATTAATGCCTCCCATTTTGTTTTTGTTGCCTAGAATTGCTCTTGATATTCGGGGTCTTCTTTGGTTCCATATGAAGCATAAAATTAGTTTTTCTATATCTGTGAAGAATGCTGATGGGATTTTAATAGGTATTGCATTGAATCTGTAGATCAGTTTGGGTAGTATAGACATTTTAATGATGTTGAGTTGCCAATCCACAAGCATGTATGGATTTCCATCTGTATACATCCTCTGGTATTTCCTTCCTCAGTGTTTCATAGTTCTCCCTGTAGAGGTCTTTTACCTCCTTGGTTAAGTATATTTCTAGGTATCTTTTAACTTCTTTGTTGCTATTGTGAAGGGAATTGAGTCTTTGATTTGTTCCTCAATTAGATTGTTGTTGGCGTATATGAATGCCTCTGATTTCTTGATTGATTTTGTATCCTGAGACTTTACTAAATTCATTTATCAGTTCCAGGAGTTTCTTACTTGAATCTTTGGGATTTTCTAGATATAATATCATATCGTCAGCAAACAGTGAAAGTTTGATCTCTTCTGCCCCTATTTGGATACTTTTAATTCCTTTTTCCTGTCTGATTGCTATAGCCAGGACTTCTAGCACTATGTTGAATAGAAGTGGAGATAATGGGGCATCCTTGTCTGGTTCCAGTTCTAAGTGGGAATGCTTTCAATTTTTCCCCATTCAGTATGATGTTGCTATGGGTCTGTCATATATGGCTTGTATCATTTTTAGGTATGTCCCTTCTATGCCTATTTTCTTAAGTGTTCGTATCATGAAAGGGTGTTGAATTTTGTCCAAAGCTTTTTCTGCATCTATTGAAAGAATCATGTGGTTTTTGTATTTACTTCTGTTTATGTGGTGAATTGCATTTATAGATTTACATATGTTGAACCAACCTGCATCCCTGGGATGAAGCCAACTTGGTCGTGATGTATTATTTTTTGATAAGCGTCTGGATTCGGTTACTAAGATTTTGTTGAAATTTTTGCATCTATATTCCATTAGGGATATTGGTCTGTAGTTTCTTTTTTTTGGATCCTTTCCTGGTTTTGGTATCAGAGTAATATTCGCTTCATAAAAGGTGTCCGGGAGGTTTCCGTTCTTCTCTATGTTGTCGAATAGTTTTCTGCAAGATAGGTACTAGTTCTTCTTTGTAAGTGTGGTAAAATTCGGGTGTGAAGCCATCTGGACCGGAACTTTTCTTTTTAGAAAAGTTTTTAATTGCTGTTTCTATTTCAGCTGTTGAGATTGGTGTGTGCAGGGAATCTATTTCTTCCTGGTTGAGCCTAGGGAGGCTGTGTGTTTCTAGAAATTTGTCCATTTCCTCCACATTTTCCAGTTTGTGTGCATAAAGATTTTTGTAGTATTCATAAATTATATCTTGTATCTTTTTGAGATCAGTTGTGATATCTCCTTTTTTGTTCCTGATGGAGCTTATTAGAGATTTTTCTTTTCTGCTTTTCATTAGCTTAGCCAATGGTGTGTCAATTTTGTTTATTTCCAAAGAACCAACTTTTTGTTTTATCAATCTCCTGAATAGCTTCCCTGTTTTCAATTTCATTTAGTTCTGATTTAATCTTTTTGGTTTCACTTCTTCTGCTGGGTTTGGGGTTGGTCTGTTCTTCTTTTTCCAGCTCTTTGAGTCATTTCGTTAGATTGTCTATTTGTGATCTTTTTGACTTTTGGTTATAGCCATTTATGGAGATAAACATTCCTGTCAGAACTGCTTTAGTTGTGTCCCAGAGGAGTTGATAACTTGTCTCTCCATTGTCATTTTGTTCATATATTTTTAATTTCCATCTTGATTTCTTCATTTATGAAGTTATCATTTAGTAGGAGGATGTTTAATTCCACGTTTTTGGGTAGAAATGTGAGTTTCCTGTTAGGGTTGATTTCACTTTTATTCCACTGTGATCAGAGAAGGTACATGGTATGATTTCTATTTTTTTAAATTTCTTGATATTTTCTTTGTGTCCTAGGATATGGTCAATCTTAGAGAATGTCCCATGAGCTGATGAGAAGTATGTATATTCGTAATTTGGGGTAGAATGTCCAGTAAATGTCAGTCAGACCCAATTGTTCCAGAGTTTTGTTTAAGTCCATTATTTCTTTATTAATTTTCTGTTTGGAGGATCTGTCTTGTGCCGTCAGTGGGGTGTTGAAATCTCTGGTGATTATGGAGTTGCTATTAATCAATTTGCTTAGATCCAGTAAGGTTTGCTTTATGAAACTGGGTGCACCTAAGTTGGGTGCATATATATTTAAAATTGTTATCTCTTGTTGTTTAACTGTGCCCTTCACCATTATATAATGACCCTCTTTGTATTTCACTACTGTTGTTGGTTTAAAAACTAAATCATCTGAAATTTGAACTGCCACACCAGCCTTCTTTTGGCTTCCACTTGCCTGGAATACTGATCTCCACCCTTTTACTTTTAGTATATTTGCATCCTTGCAGGTTAGATGTGTTTCCTGAAGACAGCATATACTTGGCCTGTATTTTCTCATCCATTCAGCCAGCCTATGTCTCTTGAGTGGAGAGTTTAAGCCATTCACATTTATTGAGAACTGATAGGTAAGGTAGGTTATTGTTCATTCTGTTGGGCTGGATGTTGTTGC